CCTGGAAGTTTTTTTTTTTTTTTTTTTTTTTTTTTTTTTTTTTTTTTTTTTTGAGACAGAATCTCACTATGTAGTTGAGAGTGACCTGGAACTCACTATGTGACCCAGGCTGGTCTCGAACTCACAGTGATCCTCCTGCCTCAGCCTCCCGAGTGCTGGGATTACAGGCGTGCGCCACCACACCTGGCTTGGAAGTTTCCTTTTTATTATTATTATCTTTCCTCAGAAGATGTTGCTATAACAAAGCACCCGAGACTGTGATGTTTATAAAAAATAAGAGGTTTATTTGGCTCACAGTCTGAGATGCTGGGAAGTCCAGAAGTATGGTACCACATCTGGTGAGGGCCATCTTGCTGCATCACAACATGGCACAGGACATCCCATAGAGAGACAGCAAATATCCTGTTCAGGTCTCTCTTCCTTTTCTTATAAAGCCATTAATTCCATTATGGAGGCCCCACCCCCATAACCTCTAGTCCTCACCTCGCAAAGGCCCTTCCTCCAGATACCATCGGGATGTGGGTTGTGGGATTCCGTTTTCCACATGTGAACCTTTGGGAGACACACAGTAGCCACAGTGGCCACTAAATCGTCTGTACTGTTAATATTTTGGGGTACCTGGCTCCTGCCAAGTGAAATCAGGGGCTAGGGATTGGCCTGGTCCTTTCAGTCCTGATCTAACCCTTTCGCCATTTCCAAGACAGAAAACAAAGGCCTAGGGGACACCTGGGGCCTCTGTCCAGGGCTCTGTGCTCCTGTAGGAACCACAGCAAAGAGGCGACAGGAATTTGTGGATCTCCTCTGTGATTTCCTGAGGGGGCCTCTGGTCTCTCTTCTTCCTCGCAAGGCCACTGGCACACTTCAGGAGACTGGGAGGCTTGGATGGAAAAGTCATGTGTCCCAGCAGGTAGCCTGGGAGGGAGCTTCCTGCTAAGTCCCTCCCATTTCGGAACATTCACAATTGTGTTCTCTTTCTGGGCCTTTGCTTTTGCTGCTCTCTCTGAACTGAAATGCTCTTTTATTTGCTGTATCACAGGTGTCCCTGACCCCACCAATTCCTTTGATTTAATGCTCTGATGTCACCATCTTGCCACTCTTAAAATTTTGTGAGTAAAGAAGGGGCTCCTCGTTTCCACTTTGCACTGGATACCGCAAGTCCCACGACTGGTCCCGTCATCAGGTCCAGTTCTTTGCCCATCAGAGTGACCTCCTCCAGGGGCCTTCCCGGTCCCTGTCCCACTTTGTATCCCCCTCTACGGCCCCCAGTTTCTTTTTTGACTTCTGTTGTCTTCACAGTCCTTAATCCCTCATTGAGATTGTGTCTCTTATCCCCCTATTTCATTACTTGTCTGTTCGGTT